CTCACTGCAATCTCTGCCTCCCAAGTTCAAGTGATTCTCCTGCCGCACCACTACGCCCAATAATTTTTGTATTTTTGTAGAGATGAAGTTTCGCCATGTTGGTCAGGCTGGTCTCAAACTCCTGACCTCATGATTCACCCACTGCGGCTTCCCAAAGTGCTGGGATTATAGGCACGAGCCACTGCACCTGGCCTAAAGTGGCATATTCTTTGTTTTAGGTTTTTGTTTTGTTTTGTAACCCAGGCCAGAGTGCACTGGTGCAATGATGGCTCACTGCAGCCTCAAATTCCCAGGCTTAAGTGATCTTCTTGCCTTAGCCTCCTAAGTAGCTCATACCACAGGCACACATCACCATGTCCGGCTATTTTTTTGTATTTTTAGTAGAGACAGTATTTCACCTTGTTGCCCAGGCTGGTCTTGAACTCCTAGTGTCTCAAGCAGTCTGCCACTTCGGCCTCCCAAAGTGTTGGGATTACAGGCATGAGCCATCACACTCCCTGCCTGAAAGGACTTCTGAATGGATTTATCAGTACTTCTTTGAATACCACAGTTGCTGCTCTTTTCTCTGAGTCCTTGAAGCCTTTATACTAGATGTAAACTATGGTTTATACTAGAATTAATTTATACTAGTATAAACTATGGTTTATATTAGAATTGATAGTATAAGCCATAGTTCTCCCATTCATAGTTTTCACTTGGTTTCCTTGCCATGTGATTTAGGCATCTTGTGAGGGCCCTATGTAGGTAGGTGTTGCAGGGGAACAGATGGCCATTTTTAATAAAGGAATAGGATCTGGGCTTCATTGTTCTTAAGAAGGGGATGTCTTCTCAATTCATTTGTCTGCTGAGTTTATCTGATAATTCTTTCTTTCCTTTAGAAAGGCTAATTGCTTTTAATCTATTTTGGTGCCTTTTGGGACTTATCTCAGGGCATTCTGTCTTTTCAGAAAATGGACCCAAGTGGGGTCAAAGTGCTGGAAACAGCAGAGGACATCCAGGAGAGGCGGCAGCAGGTCTTAGACCGATACCACCGCTTCAAGGAGCTCTCAACCCTTAGGCGTCAGAAACTGGAAGATTCCTATCGATTCCAGTTCTTTCAAAGAGATGCTGAAGAGCTGGAGAAATGGATTCAGGAAAAACTTCAGATTGCATCTGATGATAATTATAAAGACCCAACCAACTTGCAGGTATGTCTGATCTCCTGGGATTGCTTCCAAAATTCAAGAGCCCAAATCTTACCCAAAAATCAGACAAGGAAATTTACTTAATTATGACCTTGAGAGATTGGACAGCAAAAAGAATATAATGAGGAAGGACAAACTCAATGTTTTCCCTTATTGTATTAGTGAGGGTGAATGTGGAATCTTACAGGCATTAATTATCTTTTCTGGATGCTTTAAACTGATGGTTCTCAAACCTCTACTTTGATATACCACTGGTGATCTTTAAACATTTTTCAGGGAAGTTCTGGGTTAATCTTTCAGAATGAGGTTTTTTTTTGTTTTATTTTTGCTTTTGTTTTTTTGAGACAGAGTTTCGCTTTTGTCACCCAGGCTAGAGTGCAATGTCATGATCTCAGCTCACTGCAACCTCCTGCTCCCAGGTTCAAGTGATTCTTCAGCCTCAGCCTCCCGAGTAGCTGGGATTACAGGCGCCCGCCACCATGCCCAGCTAATTTTTGTATTTTTAGTAGAGATGGGGTTTCGCCATGTTGGCCAGGGTGGTCTTGAACTCCTAACCTCAGGTGATCCATCTGCCTTGGCCTCCCAAAGTGCTGGGATTACAGGCGTGAGCCACTGCACCTGGCCAAAACTTTTATATAAAAAGCGAAGGGACTTGCCGGGCTCGGTGGCTCACGTCTATAATCCCAGCACTTTGGGAGGCCAAGGAAGGTAGATCACAAGGTCAGGGGTTCAAGACCAGCCTGACCAATATAGTGAAACCCCGTTTCTACTAAAGATACAAAAATTAGCTGGGCATGGTGGTGGGTGCCTATAGTTCCAGCTACTCAGGAGGTGAAGCAGGAGTGTTGCTTGAACCTGGGAGGCGGAGGTTGCAGTGAGCCAAGATCAGATGCCACTCTACTCCAGCCTGGGTGACAGAGTGAGACTGTGTCCCAAAAATTGTTTTAAAAAGGGAAAGTCTTTCTTCTCATTAATTTTGTTGAAAGATTTTTGAAGAAAATTATTTTGGTAGCAAGTGGAACAGTAGTTGGGCCCATGGTTTTTTAACTAGAAAAAATTTGCTACAGCAACCTAAGAAGTGAATGAAGAACACTGCTTTTAGGTACAGTCCCTGCCTGGCAGGCCCCTTCCCATCTTAGTATTTGATGAAAAAGAGGTATTGAGAAATGGAGTGTGGGCAGGGTCAAAGAGTCTGGCCTCTAAAGCAAGTGAAAGTAAGTCTCGTGTGGGTGAATATGGATGGATATTTCAAGAGTAAGCACTGAGTGCTAAGAAAACTGTTAGTGTGGCTCAGTATTTCTAGAAGGGACTGGATGTTCACATAAAGGCTAATTTTCTGATAGCAAAAAAAAAAAAAAATTATTAATAGGGTATTTTGTAGCATCTTCCATTGACAATGTTAGTCCTCAACAGTGAGTTAGGACCATTGATGGCCCTCACTAGCCAGGCTTTCAGAAGGTGAGGAAAAATGCAGTCAGAGTATTTGAGGAGTTGGGCAGGTAGAGAATGGGCAAGGTGCCAAGTGATGTGTCCCTTACTAGAGGGAGTAGGATTGAGGAGGGGAGGAACATGGGGGACAGGGGGCAAAGGACAAAATGCTGATGCTGTGTGGTTGCATCTGAGGCTCACGTCAAGGTCCACCAACAGGGAAAGCTTCAGAAGCATCAAGCCTTTGAAGCTGAAGTACAGGCCAACTCAGGAGCCATTGTTAAGCTGGATGAAACTGGAAACCTGATGATCTCAGAAGGGCATTTTGCATCTGAAACCATACGGGTGAGTATGAATGGCTCACGGTATGGATGGCTTCATCTGGGTGGAGGATTATAGATTCATGCATACATGTCAGTTTGGGTTCCCCAAAAGATAGACTTTTCTAGCTTTTAAAAGAATTTATGAAGTCTCCTAAAAAAGTTACCCAGTCCTGCCTTTGTAATATGACTTAGCATGAATATAAGCAAGTATTTGTATACTCAGTGAGGAAATTAATACTCCTTTTGTAGAATAGAATGTGATTATACTTTAAAGAAAACTGTAAATTAACTCTAACATTTATAAATGGCAATGAGGTAGGACAGCCTATTAATGAAATTGGCGAATTTAGCAAAGATAAATAGAAACAGCCACAGACACTATGAAGAAGGTTATCTGTGGGAAAGCTTGCTGTCTGGAATCTTGGCTTGCCCTGGGAGGGGTTTACCGAGGTCTAGGCAGTAAGCCTGTCAAAGCTGCAGCTCTAAGGAATGATTTATGGCACTTGTTGGTCAATGACCGTGGTGCTGGAACTGACTTTGAGGCAGGAGTCCTCGAACTCTTTGGTCTGCTTATTTTAGTGCCAGTTTATTGGAGCTGAGGTAGTAATTGATCTTTCTCTGCTTTGTTTCACATTTCTACTACCATGATATTAAGGAAAAACAAACCTCTTGACAGTGAAGTGTGCACATTGAGATTCTTATAACTGGATGCACTTGTCTATCTTTGATATACATCATGTCTACCTGTGTGTTCTCTTTGTTTCTTTGTCATCCGAAGCCACATTTCATTGAGGCCCAGCCTTGTCTAGTTCTTCACCTGTCAAAGCAATCCTGAAGATTTAAATGAAAGCTGTATCCTTAAGCCACAGCTAGAACTGTTTTGTCCCCAACTCTTGCCTGAACTGTGTGGTTTCATTCACTGAGGATCCAGTCTAGTAATTTTCAACAATAAATATTTGTTTTCTCACGTTTGCTTGGCAATACTCTGCAGTCTCATATTAAGGACTTGCAATGGCCCCAAGATGTATGATGAATAATTATTAACTATTACTAATAATGATTGTAAATAGGAAATAAAAGTGAATTCCAGATGTCATGTGACTAATAACATTTAACCCATTCAGGCAGTGGAATATTTGTCTGCAATTAAATACAGGTACAGATATTCATCTGGCCATCTTCCCACTATTTTATATACAGTCGTAGACTTACAGTAAATGAAATCAGCATACCTTATTATTTCCTTGACAGAAGTTGTTTTCCAGGAGTGAATGAGGCAGCTCCGTAGTAGTATATGTAACCAACTTACCGATGGAGAACGTTAGACATAGATCAAGTGTTTGGCTTCAGTAATTAATGGGGAAAGGAAGAGGACCCAAAGCCGACTTTATTCATGTCTATTAGTACCCTCTGCCCTGTTTCGGTGGCTTATTAAAGCAACATTACCAATATTGTTAACTGGCCAAGCATGGTGGCTCACACCTGTAATCCCAGAACTTTGGGAGTCCAGGGCAGGAGGATCACTTGAGCTCAGGAGTTCAAAACCAGCCTGGGCCATAGTGAGACCTAGTTTCTACCAAAAAATTAAAAATTAGTAGGGTGTGGTGCTGCACACCTGTAGTCTCAGCTCCTGGGGAGGCTGAGGTAGGAGGATCGCTTGAGCCTGGGAGGTCAAAGCTGCAGTAAGCCATGATTGTACCACTCCAGCTTAGGCAACAGAGCAAGACTGTCTCAAAAAAAAAAAAAAAAGTCAGGCACAGTGTCTCACGCCTTTAATCCCAGCACTTTACAGCGTTGAGGCGGGCAGATCATCTGAGGTCAAGAGTTCAAGACCAGCCTGGCTAACATGATGAAACCCCATATCTACTAAAAATATAAAAAATTAGCCAGGTGTGGTGGCACACACCTGTAATCCCAGCTACCTGGAGGGCTGAGGAAGGAGAATCCCTTGAACCCAAGAGGCAGAGGTTGCAGTGAGCTGAGATTACACCATTGCACTCCAGCTTGGGCAACAAGAGCTAAAATCCATCTCAAAAATAAATAAAACCAAAACCTATTAAATATAGTTTGTTGAATAGATATTAATATTTATGTCCAGATACTTTGCTAATCTCTAATCTTCACAATAAATTTGCAAAGTGGCCATTATTTCCCTATTACAGAAGAGAAGAAACTGAGGTTCAGAGAGTTTGATTAACTTGTCAAAAGTCATATAGTTGATAGATGACTGAACTGGAATTTATCTATCCCCTTCTTTCTCCAGTCACAACTATTTGTTTTAATTTTTTTTTTTTTTGAAACAGTCTTGCTCTGACACCCAGGCTGGAGTCAGTGGCACAATCTCGGCTAGCTGCAATCTCCACCCCCTGGATCAAGTGATTCACCCACCCCAGCCTCTCGAGTAGCTGGGATCACAGGAACACACCACCCCACTGGGCAATTTTTTTGTATTTTTAGTAGAGACCGGGATCTTGCCGTGTTGCCCAGGCTGGTCTTGAACTCCTGAGCTCAAGCAATCTGCCTGCCTCAGCCTCCCAAAATGCTGGGATTACAGGTGTGAGCCACTGCACCCAATCTATTTGCTTTGTTTTTCCAACCTGTACTTCATTCCTGTCTTCTTTTTTTTTTTTTTTTTTTTTTTTTTTGGAGACGGCGTTTCGCTGTTGTTGCCCAGACTGGAGTGCAGTGGCACGATCTCGGCTCACTGCAACCTCCGCCTCCTGGGTTCGGGCAATTCTCCTGCCTCAGCCTCCCGAGTAGCTGGGACTACAGGCACGCACCATCATGCCCAGCTAATTTTTTTGTATTTTTAGTAGAGACGAGGTTTCACCTTGTTGACCAGGATGGTCTCGATCTCTTGACCTCGTGATCCACCCGCCTCGGCCTCCCAAAGCGCTGGGATTATAGGCGTGAGCCACCACACCCGGCCTCATTCCTATCTTCTTTACTTAATGTTTTTACCATCTGCTTCTCTGAAGGCTCCTGTTGCTTGCTTATGTCCCTGTTGAGAAGTCCACCTGAGTCAGAACCAGGCTTCTCCACCCCGTCAGCTTTCCATGTATTTATGAAGTGCATCTGCCTCCCTGCCCACTCACACTCTCAAATAATAGTAAGCCTGTGAAGCTGGACTCTCTAACCTGCAGTATTTACAACATCAGCAATAGGAAATGGTTCCAGTACTGGGACAGGCCTTGCCCTAGTTCTTTCCTTGAGGGGGTAAAAATGAAATATGTGAGATGGACAATTGACTTGAATGTGAGAGGATTTTCTCTAGTCTTCTGTGGCCTCATTTTTAATTTGAGCAGGAGCTCTTATTTAATATTTATTTACATGCTCATAGTTCCTATAGTGATCTTGGCTTGGTCATTTGTTTGGTCCCCTAACTCAGTACCTTAGTTTGACAGGTGGTGGTAGCAGAGGAAGGTGGGTGGCATGTGAGGGCATGTCTGTGTCCTGGATAACCTGTTTGTCACTGGTTTAGACTTTCACACCATACCGGACAGCGTGGCGCCCCATAGTCACCACTACCCACATTGGGTCCCACATCCGAGTAGGTGGAGTATTGATTGACTTGCTCTTGGTTGCCTTCTTCCCCTTGCTTTGGAGTGCCTTTCACTTTCTTCTCAGTGTGGGGTCACAGTTTTATCAACAGTAGTGAAAGTGAATTGTGTGAGCATGTATTCGTCTGCTGCTTTCTCCTTTCCAATAAAACATCTACACTTGTTTCTAAGATAATCCACCCAGGTTGACCGTCTCCTGGTTTTCAAGTTTTTATTTTGCTAGGTGTGGATCTCAATCACGGGTGGATCCCAGACTTCTTTTCTGTTAGTGTTTAAATCTTTTTGTTTGTTTTACTTCTATCAGTGTTGTACAGAAACTCCCAGTATCTTGGGTAGGCATAATCAAGGCATTGAGATTGGATTGGAATACCAGTATGCATCATCTAAGCTTGAATTGATTATCAGTTTCCGCCAACTCTTGTTAAGTCCTCACTGGGCTTGTGTTATGAGAACCTAAAGATGCTGGGAAGTGAATATGTTTGACCCTGTGGCTGCCACTTGGGTGAAGTAAACCTCACTCGAGATGTATCACAAACTGTCTTTTCATAGAAGGTCCAAAATTTTTTCTATTAGGGATCCTTTTTGATAGCTGATAACTTTTCAGGACCCTATCTTTTCTACTTTTTTTTTTTTTCTGGGTTGGAGTCTTGCTCTGTTATCCAGTGCTGGAGTGTCCAGAGTGGCGTGATCTCTGCTCACTGCAGCCTCTGCCTCCTGGGTTCAAGCAATTCCCCTGCCTCAGCCACCTGAGCAGCTGGGATTATAGGCGTGTGCCACCACGCCCGGCTAATTTTTGTATTTTTAGTAGTGACAGGGGTTTCACCATGTTGGCCAGGCCGGTCTTGGACTCCTGACCTTGTGGTTCACCTGCCTCTGCCTTCCAAAGTGCTGGGAATACAGGCGTGAGCCACCACCCAGCCCTTTTCTACTTTTAGACCAAGATTTTCCTGTTGTGCCTTATAATCTTTACATTGATGATGCCTATAGGACCTTTTGTTTGTTTGTTTTCCCTTTATCTCCATGAATTTGGAATACATCCTTCAGTAATTTCAGTTCAGTTTACACATTAATTCCTCGTGTTTCCTTCCTCAACAGTCTTCTGGATTGGGAATTCTACTCTAATAGTTTAACAATAATTAGGCCAGGCACGGTGGCTCAAGCCTGTAATCCCAGCACTGTGGGAGGCCGAGGCGGGTGGATCACGAGGTCAAGAGATCGAGACCATGCTGTTCAACATGGTGAAACCCCGTCTCTACTAAAAATACAAAAAATTAGCTGGGCATGGTGGCGCGTGCCTGTAATCCCAGCGACTCAGGAGGCTCGGGGAGGAGAATTGCCTGAACCTGGGAGGCGGAGGTTGCGGTGAGCCGAGATCGCGCCATTGCACTCCAGCCTGGGTAACAAGAGCGAAACTCCGTCTCAAAAAAANAAAAAAAAAAAAAACAAACAAAAAAAAACCAATAATTAATAGTATCAATCATGTACCTATTAATATATAATGCTAAAATATGTAACTATAAAAGATAAATGTCATAAATATAATTATAAATAAATGAAATATAAAGATATAATTATTAATAATATATATAATAATGATTTTCCTGATGTAAACTAGAGTAAATCTACCTGTGAAAGGCCAGTGATTTTGTAACTTGAAAACCACTAAGGCCGGGTGCAGTAGCTCACGCCTGTAATCCCAGCACTTTGGGAGGCTGAGGTGGGTGGATCATAAGGTCAGGAGCTCGAGACCATCCTGGCCAACATGGTGAAACCCCGTCTCTACTAAAAATACAAAAAAAATTTAGTTGGGTGTAGTGGAGCATGACTGTCATCTCAGCCACTTGGGAGGCTGATGCAGGAGAATTGCTTAAACCCAGGGGGCGGAGATTACAGCGAGCCAAGATTGTGCCACTGTACTACAGCCTGGCAGCCTGGGTGACAGTATGAGACTCTGTCTCAAAAAAAAAAAAAAAAAGAAAAAGAAAAAGAAAGAAAACCACTAAACCGCTGTGAACTGTGGACTTTTCCCTGTTCCCAATTAAATTTACTCTTTCCGTTTAGGAATTATCTTTTTAAAATATTTTTATTCAGAGATCCATAAGGTGTCTAACTTGTTTGAACTCTGTGGAAGAGCCAGATCCCACAGAGCCAGTTGTGATCCGATGTAAAATCTGATTTGAAACTTTCAGACTCGTTTGATGGAGCTGCACCGCCAGTGGGAATTACTTTTGGAGAAGATGCGAGAGAAAGGAATCAAACTGCTGCAGGCCCAGAAGTTGGTGCAGTATTTACGAGAATGTGAGGACGTGATGGACTGGATCAATGACAAGGCACGTTTCGGGAAGGAAGGTTTGCTAAGCTTTACTCAAAGAAAGGGAAGAGACTCTTCAGTGATCTGTAGCGAGAACCAGTGTTAGGTCAGATATGGCCATTTTAAGTGAAAGGGTGGAAGTGGGATTGCTGTCTCTCCAGCCACTCTCTAGGTGTTTGGTATTCTGTATACAACTCTGAAGCCTGGAGTTGCTGAGACAGAAATGCTGTGAGCTGAACTTCTTAACTTTCTGTGGGAGGAACTAAAATCACAAACCACGCAGTGAACCGTATCCCTTAAAGCTAACATGGCTCCATCCCTAATGTGTCTGTTTTCTGTTTCTGGAAGCCATTGTTAACAAATGTTGGTTGATCACTCTGGCACTCTCATGGTCCCTGAATAGGAAGCAATTGTTACTTCTGAAGAGCTGGGCCAGGATCTGGAGCATGTAGAGGTTTTACAGAAGAAATTTGAAGAGTTTCAAACAGATATGGCTGCTCATGAAGAAAGAGTTAATGAAGTGAACCAGTTTGCTGCCAAACTCATTCAGGTAAATAGCAAAGTGGTATGTGTTTCTCACAATATTATTATGTTAACTTTAGTATATTCAGGAGAAAATTTTGATTGGTACCCTAATTTCCAAGTGAGTGAGTTTTTGTAAGCATGTCTTAAGAGTTTTGTTTAGATGTAAGGCACAATACTGATTACTCCTAAATTGGAAAATGCTTTTTAACGTGTTGCCTTGGGCGGAAAGGGCAGAGTTCATTTGATCTGTTTCTTCCACCCACTTTTGGGTAGGGCTGGGTAAAGCTTTTATTGGGCTGCTGAAGCTGGGTCTCAGGGTTTCTCAGACGAGCGTATGGTGGTGAATGCTTAGTATTGGCAGATGTCCACCAATGCCATAAGGCCCTTGCTTTCCTTTTTGATTTGAAGCTTCCCTGGGTTCTCTTGGGAGCCAGGGAGAACCTTGTTATGAATAGACTCTCTACTCTGGTGCTGGAACCCATTAAGATGGAATAACAACCCTTTCCCAGTGCCCACATGTACAGTTCTGTAAGCTGCTTCCACTACCAAGTCCAAAGGATTCCAAAGACGTCAAGTACTAGGAACCAGAGAGTTTTTACTTTTAGGGAAATTTGATTTGGGGGGGGGGTTCAAATTTTAAATGTATAAATCTGCTTAGAGGCTGGTACTTGTTTCCTTTATCTGGTCAGTGATTAAGAGAAAGAATAGCCAGCATTCCTCAGAAATATCTCACCCTTCCACTGACAGGTGTGTTACCTTTCCAAACCCTAAGTTTTCCTAAGGTTGAACTTGAGAATAGCAGTCGGGCCAAACCCGTGGTACCCCAAATGGATTCAAGAACCCTGAAATGCTTCACTTTATTACTTTACATCATATTTTTAATTAAAAACACCAAAATGTGTTTGGTGGTGAAGGATACTTATAAAGAAATGTTCCTAAGCTGGATGCAATGGCACGTGCCTGCAGACTCAGCTACTCTACTCAGACCCAAGCTGATAAGACAGAGTCACTTGAGACCAGCCTGGGCAACATAGCAAGACCCTGTCTGAAAAAAGAAAAAAAGAAATGTCTTCAGTCTAAAGCCAGGAACAAACTCTTGAGTGCTGAAAATTATGTTTATGGGCAAGAACGCTTATCAGCCTCATGAATATCTGAAATACCAAATTTTCAACTGGTTAGCATAGATGAGTACATTGATAAAGCCACTACAAAGTTGCAGCCAAAGTATTTATTAACATAAAGGTTTTTGGCACTTTGCACATAACCACTTTATACAATATACAATAACCACACTACTCCAAAAGATAGAGAATGGATCTCCCCTTTTTACACAAGAAATAGAAACTCTTTGGAGTTATAGTTAACTTTGTATCATGTAGACCAGTATTTCTTGTGTTGTGATTCTCTTCAGAATGGCGACTTGCTAAGATACTTCAAGCAACCAACCCCAGGATAACTAGTTGGAGGAGCCAGAAGTTGTGTACAAATCTAGTCTCTTTTCTTCCTTGTTTAGGAGCAGCACCCTGAGGAGGAACTGATCAAGACTAAGCAGGATGAAGTAAATGCCGCCTGGCAGCGGCTGAAGGGCCTGGCTCTGCAGAGGCAGGGAAAGCTCTTTGGGGCAGCTGAAGTTCAGCGCTTTAACAGGTGTCAAGCCAGAGTGGGCTTTGGGGAATGGGCCTCAACGTGGAGGGGTGTTATGAAGCACAGGGCATGTGCTGGTGAGCTGCCAGGGCTGACTAGGCCTTGGTCCCATGGGGTATTCCTAGTTCTAGAGAGTTGTCATTGCTGTAGATTAACTGGTGCCTTTGTTGTGTAGGGATGTGGATGAGACTATCAGTTGGATTAAGGAAAAGGAGCAGTTAATGGCCTCTGACGATTTTGGCCGAGACCTGGCAAGTGTTCAAGCACTGCTTCGGAAGCACGAAGGTCTGGAGAGAGATCTTGCTGCTCTAGAGGACAAGGTGGGTTTTACAAGCAGCTTATTCTGTAAATAAGTTACCAAGGGTCAGGAGAAAGTTCTGATGGAGTTCACTTATAGGTCAAAGCCCTGTGTGCTGAGGCTGACCGCCTGCAACAGTCCCACCCTCTGAGTGCAACTCAGATTCAAGTGAAGCGAGAGGAACTGATTACAAACTGGGAGCAGATCCGCACCTTGGCAGCAGAGAGACACGCACGGCTCAATGATTCATACAGGTGCAAATTATACCCCAGGTCTTAACCATTATTATTTGACTTCTTTTTAGAGAAGCAGGAATAGCAGAGTTAGGGTCTGTTTTATGTTCTATGAAAGTGTCAGGTATCACCTACAAATGCAAATCACTTCTTAACTATGGTCTCTCTTTTTGGAGACTGACAACTGTATCGTGTATAGTATATGTATAGTATTCACAACTTAATAAATTCTTCTGTTCTGCATCACTGCATTATGACTTATAGAATGGAAATATCCCCTTAAGTATTTAAGTATCACATGAAATATCTTATTAAAACCAGGATTAGAAAGGAAAAGAATGCTTCTTACTAACCAAGTGTTGAACCTGAGAATAACAAGGAAGTTGAAAATGTGGGACAGGATTGGGGCATATTATAGTGATGGACAGAACCTGTTTTAAAGGGTTGATTTCAGCCTTCTCTTGCTTTCCTTCACAGTCTAGATTGGGAGAATTTCATATTTCTCAGAATTAGAGCTTGTATAGTTTGTTAGACATTTGAGAACATAGAATCAGAGCTTTAGGAAGGCCATTTTCCACACTGGAGCCTCTGTTGGAAACATAATGACTTCCTCTGGTTTTCCCTAGGCTCCAACGTTTCCTTGCTGACTTCCGTGACCTCACCAGCTGGGTGACTGAGATGAAAGCCCTCATCAATGCAGATGAGCTCGCCAATGATGTGGCTGGGGCTGAAGCCCTGTTAGATAGACACCAAGAGCACAAGGTAATATCTCTAGCATGTTCCAGAAGTGAAGATTTTAGTTTATAATGCACCAGTATAGCTTGAACCTGGGCAGCAGAAGTTCCAATGAACCGAGATCACACCACTGCACTCCAGCCTAGGCGACAGAGTGAGAGTCGATCTCAAAAAAAAAAAAAAAAGACATTTGTAGAGAAAACTATAAAACTTCGTTAAAAGGCATTAAATAAAAACTGAATATTTGGAATGATTTATCTAGTGCACAGATGGAATGGTCTTTTGTGAAGGTGTAAATTCCCACCAGGATATATACAGTTTATACAGTTCTAGTCAGGAGCTCAGCAGGCATATGAGTATGTGCGTGTTTCTTTTTGCGATGAGATAAGCTGATTCCAAAACTGATTTGAAAGGAAAAAAAATTCAAAAACAGGTGAGGCAATGTTGAAGATCATTGTGGGGGTAGGGGAAAGACTCACCCTACCAGGCTCTATAAAATCTAGTAAACAAGTCCATTTGGCCCAAAGAAGAGCACTGGAACAAAAGAGGGCTCAGACCCATGTGAATATGTGGAACCTTGACAAATGACAGGTGACCTGCAAAGCCATTTGGAAAAGGACTTCATCAGTGAGTGATACTCTCACATTTGATGACCTAGACTGATTATGTATTAGGAAACCTGGCCTAGTCATTCATTTTGTTCCTCATTTTAGATGTCATAGTCTGACATGTAATGCTTATGTAAAATTCAGCACCTTATTTTTATTTTGCAAGATGCTGGGCATAAATCGTGCCTTTTTTCCCCTGGTAGGGTGAAATTGATGCTCATGAAGACAGCTTCAAATCTGCAGATGAATCTGGACAGGCACTGCTTGCTGCTGGTCATTACGCATCAGATGAAGTGAGGGAGAAGGTAAGAGAAATGGAGCTGCCGGGCGCGGTGGCTCAAGCCTGTAATCCCAGCACTTTGGGAGGCCGAGGCGGGTGGATCACGAGGTCAAGAGATCAAGACCATCCTGGTCAACATGGTGAAACCCCGCCTCTACTAAAACTACAAAAAATTAGCTGGGCATGGTGGTGCGTGCCTGTAATCCCAGCTACTCAGGAGGCTGAGGCAGGAGAATTGCCTGAACCCAGGAGGCGGAG